TGTGTGTGTGTGTATATGTGTATATATATATATATGTGTGTGTGTGTATATATATGTATATATATAGATGTGTATATATGTGTATATATATATATATATATGTGTATATATATATGTGTATATGTATATATATATATATATATATATATGTGTGTGTGTGTGTATATATACAAAAATAATAAACTACAGTACTGCTTACCACTTGTACTACTATTCCTTATTCGCAGTTTTTCATTTATCGCAGGGGCACTGGGAACAGAACCCCTTGCGATAAATGAGTATCTACTGTATCCAACTTATTCTATGACAGTACTTTCCCCTTAAGAGCACTTGGGACATTAACGGTAGGTGTTGGATGTTTAGGATCCTGCAACCCAAAAAGATTTAAAAGAAAAATCTATAAATGCACAAAATGTTTTTCAAATTAATCTGCTTGAGGTACGAGTTTAAACATTGCTGACTCAAAATAGTTTTTCCAAATAACTCGTCACAGTAAATCATCAGTAAATGAAGGCGTGTGAGTATTTGTGGGATGAAACCTAATCAACAAAGAGGTCTTTGGTGGAGAATCTTTCAGGGGAACATCACTTTACTGATTTCTGCAATAAAACTACAAGCACTACAAAAATAATGAAATGAAGAAAGTAACGGTTTGAGAGGCACTTAGAGAGCCTCGTTTTCTGTCGGGGTCAGCGCTCAACTCTGCAGATTTAATGAAAGTGATCCAGATTCGCAGTAAAATGTAATGGCTTCCTCCTTTGCTCATGCTTCACACAGTCCTGCAGATAAACAAACAGATAAACACAAACGAATCCGCATTATAATTTATGCACAGACACATAAAAAATACAACACGCCTGCACTTTTCAATATCTGCAAGATTATGACATGAACAATAAATGTGTTTTTCTTAAAACTCAAAACAATAAAACTGAACACAAATGCGTAAACCTTCCTGAAAGAAAGTGTAGAACACATTTAGTTTCTAATTAGCACAACTTCATGGTTATAAACCAAACTGAGCTCGGCTTTCTCAGTTTTTGGACAAATTGTTGGTTTTGTTTGCAGCAAAATGCTAGTTTAAAAAAAAAAAAATGTCTGAGAAGCTGAAAATAAAATGTTGCAACATGTTTGCGCTTGTGCCAAACCATTTTTTTTTTTTTTTTTGAACTGTTAAAATTGGGCCTGATGAATATTCATATAGTCTGCTATGGGCCAGCATGATTGGTGTAAATCTGACTGAAACAGCTGCAGTGAATGCTTAACTACAACAGTAAAGCACGGAGGTGGTAGTGTGATGATGTGGCGCTCCATATTCGTACGAACCTCAGTGAATTTTGCAAAAGTGCTACTGGTTTAGGCGTTGATTTGCGTTTTGTAGACTTTTGCCAAGAAAAGTGCTCTGAATAAATTCCATCAGTTTTCACACTAAAATATTGAAAACGTCCAATTTCCTAAAATGTTGCGCGACTCGGTTTCACAGAACTCTTTGGATTTTTCAAAGGAAGATAAGAAGGAGCAAACCCCTCTGACAAAAAGCGGCTGTGTGAAAGTGATGCAGATATTCAGAAGTGATTCCGCTTTAAATGGTGTAAAGCTCAAGATTCAACAAGAATGTATCATTTTTATTTGGCCTGTAGTGACGAGTAGCGCAGAGCAGGTTCAGCCCACTCCTCGTTGCTTTCTACTTCCTTTCCAAGAAGCCGGGCTTGGAGTTATCTAAAGTAGTCCAAGCTCTCTGAACATTAAAGTTTTTTTTTTTTTTACTTTAATTGCTTTTTTGTTAAACTCGATGAACAGGTGAAGGGGGCAATAAGAAGTGAGGGGCCTAAAAACAGCTGCAGAAGCTGAAATTTAGTTTTTTATTTAGGTTTGGTTTATTTGTCTTATGCAAAATCGATACAATATCAACAATGCAATGAAACGCTTAGGACGAGAAGAACCGTCTCAACTCGAATAAAACAAGAAATACCAAAGTATGCAGCAAAAATACTAAAATCATACTAAAAATATACTACTACTAAAATATACAAGGCACCGAGGTTGAAAAAGAAATGCATCTAAATACATCTTCAGGTCTCTCTTGTAAATGAGTCCTCGGGGCTCAATGGGATTAACCTGTCTAAATAAAGGTTGAATGAAATCTACAGTGAGGTTCTTTCAACACCAGGTTCTGTTCTGTTAGTGGCGGTCTGGTCAGCAGCTTGGGGGTAATGAAGCCTGCAGTCCAGAACCTGGTCCGGCAGACAGAGAACATCCAAGGTGGGCCATCCAAGTGTCTTTAAGGAAATTGAATGCATGTGCACATCTGAGAGGTTCACTCTCTTTCAGAACCACCTTGCTGCTGCTGAAATGACTTTATGTTTGTCAGACTGTTTATTAAATGTGTCTCCTGGTGCTGCTGGATGTTTTGGTTATTTTTAATCTTTTTATTTTTTTTCAGTTTACATGGAAGAGGATTATGGCCACAGTAAAAAAATAATAATAAAATCTCTCAGAATTCTGAGAAAAGTTAATACATTTTTACCTCCCAGTCCTTTTCCCCAGGTTGAATCTTTTTTATTTTTAATCTTGATTTTCTGTGTGCAGCACGGTGGTGCAGTTGGTAGAGATGCTGCCTCACGCTGCAGGTCGCCCCGGTTCCAATCCCGGTCCGGGGGCCTTTCTGGGTGGAGTTTGCATGTTCTCTCTGTGCATGTGTGGGTTTTCTCCTGGTACTCCAGTTTCCTCCCACAGACCAAAAACATGCATGTTAGACTGACTAAATTATGCCTAGGTGTGAGAGAGAGAGTGAATGGTTGTTTGTCTCATTTGTCTCTCTGTGTCCCTGTGATGGGACTGGAGACCTGTCCAGGGTGTCCCCCGCCTCTCGCATGGTGATGGCCGGACATGGACACCAGTGACCCCCGCGATCCGAAAAGGAAGAAGCAGGTAAAGATAATGGATGGATTTTCTGTGTTTGTGATTCTTGTCTTTTCATTAGATCAGTCCTCTGTGCCACTTCTCCCACGCCCATCCCCACCCGTCCCCCGTTTCACAGCTGCAGCCGCTCCACTCATCAGCCTTTTAGTCCCTCACGCACCAGTTGAGCGTTCCTGGTTCTTGCGCCACATTCTCCTTGTGTCTCCCTGTGCCTCCTTGTGTCTCGTCTTCAGTTTTTGTAAGTTTTGCTGCCATAACAGCTTTTTATTTATTTATTTCAACGGCAAGATGGCGGCGCACAGCAGTGCAGCGGCTTCTCGGGCTCCCGGTGAAAACCCAGTTATTTTTTTGTTTTGACATCGGCTCTGAGCCCGACTTCACTCGCTTTCAGCGCATGATGTGTAGCTGAACCTAACTGATTAGCACAAGAGATGGTTTGGCTTCAAAAACGGCAACGATAAGCCACAATCTGAGAGCTGGACTCGGCAGACTGAAGCCACTACGGACGTCGCTGTGGAGAGAAAAGCAGACTGAAAGGAAATGATGCGCGTGGTGAAAAGAGAGGAAAACAAGGCGGAGTGCTAACTCTAGCAGACCACTGATTCTGTCCACTTCTGGCCAACTCTTTAGAAAACAAGTTGGACCTTCTGTGGCTGAGGATGAGTGTTTCAGAGGAGCTGAAGAACTATGCTGTACTCTGTCTCACGGAAACCTGGCTCAACACCATGCCGGACTCAACGTTCCAGATTAACGAGAGGCTGCTCCTCCAATAAAGTCACCTCGAACCTTATTTGAATGAATAAGTTTTATTTTTGTGGGTTTGCTGTGTCAGTGTGCATCCTTGGGTCCAGCCTCGTGAGTGAATCTCCAGAAAGTCTCGCTCTCCAGTTGCCTGGTCACAAACGGACTTCGGCGAGACCGCGAGAGAAAATTAACATATTTTCACACGATTTTTCTGCAATTTATAAAACTTTTTCCCGTTTCTCCATATAACCATCAGTCAGACCATTGCTTCAAAGATGATTGGAATATCCCTAAATCATCTCTGAGATCTTCAGAACATTAATTCTACCCTCTCAGATAGAGTGGAGAAATTGTGGAAACTAGACTTAGACGAGAGGTGACTATTTGTGAGCAGGAGTTTGGTTTCATGCCGAGAAAGAGCACCAGAGGCCATCTTTGCTTTGAGGATGCTGATGGAGAAGTGCAGAGGTGGTCAGAAAGAACTCCATTGTGTCTTTGGGTGCTGAGGGATGAGGTGTGTTTCACGAGGAAATCTGTAGTAGCAGAGAAGTATGTTAGACTGGTGCAGGACATGTATGAGAACAGCAAGGCAGTGGTGTAACAGATAACTTCAAGGTGGAGGTGGGAGTGCATCAAGGATCGTCTCTGAGCCCCTTCTTGTTTGCTCTGGTGATGGACCAGATGAACAGATGAGGTCAGGCAGGAATCCCCATGGACTATGATGTTTGCAGACGATATTGTGATCTGTGTTGAGAACAGGGAACAGGTGGAAGAGAACTTGGAGAGGTGGAGGTATGCACTAGAAAGAAGAGGAATGAGTGTCAGTCGTAGTAAGAC